ACGGCTTCTCCCCTGGCCCCATCTTTAGCGAGTCTGTCTGCTTCCTGATTGCCCACCACATTGCTGTGGCCTGGCACTCATCACAGAGTAGCCCCGCCCTGACGCAGCCAAGACAGTGCTTCTCGGCATTCCATCACAGTTTTCGATCTCACTGATTGCATGGTTAGGTTTGATGTAAGAAACTTCAAAAATTGATGTCGTCCGATCGCGACCAAATTTCGTGGGTAGGCTATGTGAGCGACGGTGCACACGGATTCACCCTGCAAAGTTGGATACGACGTTGTGTTTACATCTTCATTAGGGTGCGACCAAGAATTTGATATTGAAGAAAAATATGGGTAGATTTGGGTATAATTGGAGACGGGCTACAGGATGACGCTCTCCACGTTTCTAACCGATGCCGATGCCTCTAAATGGACGAAATCATCAGGGTTTTTCTTAGTTATGGGTTGATTGGAACCAAACTCGGCACGTGGATAGAGTTACCCGAATGGAGTCCTCAGACGGACAGGGCAGATGGTCATTTTAATACAAATTTTATGAAAGTGAATCAAATCATTTATTAATTTCTAATTTATTACTTTCAAACATGTAATTCAAATCCTTCAATTTAATAGCTGTTAATAAGAATTTTCACTTAAATATGCGCACATAGTGCACAGACAATTTTTTATTTAGTGGATATTCTGAAGCTATTGGAAAGTAAGAAAATTGTCAGTCAATAAAATATGATCATGCCTAATTTTGTAAAAGTTCTGTTATATTACTTTCAAGGGATCCTTTGATTAAAAAAAAACAAAATTGAACCCAATCATGTCACACTGTCTCATTTAATTTAATGTATTCATCAGTATTATCTATGCCTTTAATTCATATTAATTTTTCAATCTATAATAGGTTTTTTGTAAAAGGAAACAAATTTAAGAAAATAGTAATTTCGAACTTTTTTTGTACTTTTAATTTTGTCCTAAAAAAGAACTTGCCAAAAAAACAGTAATTAAATCAAACACAAACTAATGAGATAATAGATGTAATGTAATTATATCTTATTCGGAAGTAGAGCCTTCCTTTCACTAAAATATAAAGATTCAAGATAAATAACAATACTATTATGTTTATTTAATAATATAAAATGTTGTAGTTAAAGTATATAATGTATATAATTTTTAGATAGAAATCTTTCATCTTGCTAGTGGGTTACATAGTGGATTAATATGACACTTAAATGGTATAACTGTGATTTATTTAACTTGAATTAATAATATGACAGTGGTTATATATAGTATGACAGTGAATAATATGAAGTTCAACTAAAAAATAATAATAAAGGAGATAGAAATTAGCTAATGGTTAAGTTGAATAAAAATGTCACAATTGGTAATACAAATATTTTAACGACCAAAGAAAATGTAGCATGTTGCTTTAGTGTATCTGTCAAATTTGACATTTAAAGTCAAAATATCTAAAAGTAGGTTTCCTAGCCGAATTATGAAAAACTTAATTTGTTATTGGTGTTTCCTTTTTGAATTTTATGTAAGTGTACCAAGTTTCAGCCGTTTAGATAAGGCATAGATTAAAATATACGTTAAAAATAACGAAATTTTATTTTTCATCTAGATGGTTGAAAATTGGTATATCTACTTGCGTAAAAGTTTTTTGCATAAAAGTTTTTCAAAATTTGGACAGGGAACCTATTTTTAGACATTTATTACTTTCAATGTCAAATTTGACAGATTATGATCAAGCCATATAAGTCTTTTATCTATGGATCAAGCGTACCTGAAAACAACATACTAAATTTTCTTATATCATCTTTTACCTTTTAAGTCAATAAGTAAAAAAAAGTTCCATATGATACGAAATTTATCTGTGACACTAATATACAGGGTATCCCAGAAATAAGTGCAAGTATTTCAACTGGTAGTATAGTTCAACCCCAGAAACACACCTATGAGGTTTTTTTCGCGAAAAAAAAATTTTAAAGTTAGGAATTATTTTTTAATTAAATTATTTTTAGTTTTTATTAAAAAAATAATTTCTTTATAAAATGGCAACATAGGTAGTAGATTAAATTTACAAGAAAGAAAATCCAGAAAAGATCCAGTGGTTCTCAAAATTTTAGCAAGAAAATTTTTTTTAGAAATTTTCAAAGTAAAATAACTTATTTTGGACTGTTGGAAAAACGGTAAAGAGAAAATATATTTCTTTTATCGAGATCTACCACTAAATACTATATAATAAAATACTTGCACTTATTTCTGGGACACCCTGTACAAACATTAGCGTAACTAGCAATTTATACTGGGGTGGGCCTGGGGGGCCTGGGGTTGAGCCCAGGGGGGGCCTAGCTTTTGATTTTTTTTAAAAATGAAAAATAATTTTAAAAACATATTTTTTGAATAAAACGTTTACATGAATTTCTCTATCAATGAATTTCATAGACTTGGTTATCAAACCGTGTTCCCGTAATTTACTTAAATACAAATATTCTAAAAAAAATTAAAATTAACAATTTTTTTTAAAGACAACTAAATAATATTAACTAAACAAAACTAGAAAACGTCATTTTTACTACATTACAAGCAAATAAAAATTAATACGTAGCCAAGATGTGGCCAAGAGTCATAATTCAGGATTTCTCTGTGGGGTGCCCAGCAGTACCTGGGGGGAGGCACCCCTGTAGTTACGCCAATGTGTACAAATATAAATAAATACAAATTCTATCTCCATCTAAATCAAAAATAAGATAAACGCTGTTTTTTTCGATCGTATGGTAGATTTGAAATAACCAATCATAAACCATTTGCATAAATGCTAGAATTTTTAACTACCCCACAATTTTGACAATTCTAATTCAACTGATTATTAAAATTTGATTTATTTGGTTCAATTGTACGGAAAGGGTGATAATATTTACCAGAAAATGTGATACTTTAACCACAGCCCGACTCTACTTAACGTTAAGTAAAGCCGGGCTGTGCTTTAACGATAGCAAATAACCATCTATCAAAGAATGAAATCGAAATTATATGTTTTACCATAGAAACACCTTTTGATTTTTAGGACTACAAACATGTTTTTCTGTTTTTTTTTTAACTTATTTACAAACATAACAATCTAATAAATAATATAAAATATGCCATTATTGTATATTGTTTCTTGTACCTCGAAAGTATCTGATAATTTATCAAATTAAAAATAAAGCCGTTAGCACGCAATTCAAAACCGAACCAAAACCGATACAGTGCTTGAATAAAACAATTTATAGAATACAAACCATTCTATAAATTAGAGAATACATGACACGAACACATTAAAATATAAATTTAAAATAACAAAACCATTTACCGCGTTCAAATAAAGGATTACCAGTTTTCAAGAAAGTTTATGTTTCCTGTTTTCTTAATAGAACCAGTAGTGGCCTACATTTTATATATCTACCTGTATAAAAAAAATCTTAAGATTGAAGATATTTGGGAAGAAAATAATACGATTTACTTAAAACAATATTATATTTTTATATGTTATGATCAATAATATTATTTACTTATTGACATATTTTAATATACCGGGTGCGTCTCAAAAGTGGTTCACCCCTATAACTTTTTTATTTATTCAGATAAAAGAACGAGATTCGGTATTATTTTTATAGTTAGCATATGTTATAAATTAGGATTGATTGAGGTATTGAATTGTTTTTAGTCGTTTCCTGTTTCACCGGAAATGACTACAACTTTTATTTGTTAAATCGAGTCGAACATGGCGGACGACGTGCGTGTGTGTCCTCGTTGCTCTGACAACTTTATAGTAAATCAAAAGTTTCTAAAGTGTTATAATTGTCAAAAACGATATCATTATGCCTGTTCCGGTTTGAAAGACGTCCAATGTAAATTTATCACTGACTGTAAAAGTGTTGTGTGGCTGTGCGACGTTGCGCAAATAAACCTTCTCGTAATAGCGCATCAGTTCCCGATATAAGTGTCGAAAAACTGGAATGCGAAGTTGCAGTGCTAAATAAGGAAATAGACTGTCTTAATCGTGAAAAACAATTGTTAAATAAACTCTTAACTGAAATGGACACTATGGTAGATTTATTTAAATCCAAAATAAACGGTCTCGAACAAAATTCCTTAGCTGATAAAAACCTAAAGAATGCAGATATAAATGACCGGACAAAAAAGGGAATCTCCTACAGTGAGGCGTTGTCGTCGAAAATAAATAATGATGAATCAGCTGTACTGCTTGTAAAAATAAACAAACCATCGATTTCCAAGGAGGATATTTTCAAAGATGTAACTAGTAAAATCAAGCCTGCAGAATTAAAGGTTTGTGTTAATGACACCAAAGAGATAAAAAATGGTATTGCTGTTTTTTGTGAAAATTCCGATGGTTTGAATACACTTAAGAAAGAGCTTACAAAGAAGCTAGGTTCTGATTATATCGTCAATGAATCAAGGAGATATAATCCACGAATGCTAATAAAGAATGTCCGAGCTGATGAGCAATCAAGCGACAGTGATATTATGCATAGTATATTTACTCTAAACGACTTGTCTCAGTTTGATAAGAACGACCTAAAAGTTGTATCAAGACTAAAACGATTTGGTAGGATGGATGTGGTCATAGAGGTAACCCCAACACTTCGTAGATTCATACTTGCCAGAGGTTATTTATGGGTATCATGGAAAAGAGCAGAGATTGAAGATCACCTGCGGATATTGCGCTGCTTTAATTGTTGCAGATATGGTCACGTGTCCAAAGACTGTAAAGTGTCTAAAGTGTGTGGTAAATGTTCTGAAAATCATAGTGAAAAGGAATGTACTGGTGAAGAAAAGTGTGCAAATTGTTTGGAGCATAATTTAAAGTATAAAACTTCATTGTTAATTAATCATACAACTAGAGACAGTACATGCACAGTTCTTAATAATTATATTTCCAGATTGAAAAGTAGAGTTGCATATAACTGATTGTAAATTATGGTGAATAATAGTAATTTAAAGATGGATAAGCTGAATTTTTCACATTTTAATGTACGTTCGCTTTGTTCTAATTTTGTTGCTTTTCGCGACTTTGTAGTGGACGGACAGTTTGATATTTTTGGGTTGTCTGAAACATGGCTGTCTGAGAAGATTGCATCTTCTTCTTTAACTATACCTGATTATAATATAATTAGAAGTGATAGAATTGGAAGAGGGGGTGGCACGGCTTTTTATATAAAAAAATGTTACAAGTTTCAAAATCTTGAGTTGCCTGCCTCAGAAAGTGGATTGGAACAGTTGTGGATATCCATCAAGATTAACGGCAAAAATATATGTTTTGGTACTTTATATCGACCACCCAATGTTAACCTGCTGGGTTGTCTTACTGATCTTGAAAATTCGATTTCTACTTTCTTACCCTCATATGATATGCTTGTTTTTGGCAGTGATTTTAACGTGGATCTTTTGACAAACAATAACAGTAAAATAGTCTTAATGAACTTCTTTGAGAAGTATGGTCTCCATCAAACAGTAAAAGTTCCTACGCGTATAACCAATAGTAATAGTTCACTTATTGATATTATAGTTACATCTTGTTCTGATATGATTACAGATACTGAAACTCTTCTGATGGATGATATATCTGATCACTGTTTAGTTACTTGTAAAGTGAATGTACGGAGAAAAACTGCTGGAGTTAGATTTAGCACATTTCGAGATTATAAAAATTTTAACTTAGTAGAATTTGATCATGATATGTACAACATGGATTTTGATAACATTTTTGTTCTGCATGAGGTTGATGATATCGTCAACCATTTTACTAAACTCGTTACATACCTCTTTGATAAACATGCGCCGTACAAGAAGGTACGTTTTACTAAGCCTCCGGCCCCATGGATTACAACTAATATTAAATTTATGATGCGTTTAAGGAATAAAGCCCTTACTAAGTTCAAGAAACATAAAACTGAAGCTGCCTGGCAGGATTATAAACAACTTAGAAATCTGGTAACTTCGAGTCTAAGAAATGAAAAGAAAGCATACTTGTCTTTTCAGTTTAAGACCAATCCGAAGAAGTTTTGGCTAACACTAAGGCGTTTGAAAATTCGTCCTGGTATGCCATCTCATCATGAGGATACTGGTACTGCCGATGAGTTTAATGAGTTTTTTATTAATTCTGTACCTAAATTGTGCATTGATGATAACACTAATACTTATTTACAAACTTATATGAGCTCTAAATTTCTGGATGATTCCAATTTGTTTAATTTTTTGGAGGTTGATGAGAAAAGTATTTTGAGGGTAGTTAGGGAAATTAAGTCTAATGCCAAGGGATGTGACGGGATAGATAAAGGAATGATTGATTTAATACTTCCTCATTTATTGCGTCACATCACTTTCATTATTAATACTTGTATTAAAAAAAATCATTTTCCAGCTGCCTGGAAAATTGCTAATATTATTCCCACAGCAAAGAACTCTAATCCTGTCAGATTATCTGATTATCGACCAATAAGCATATTACCTTTCCTATCTAAAGTATTAGAAAAAATTATGCATAAACAACTAACAGATTTGTTAATGTCTCTAAGATTCTTCCTTTCACTCAGTCCGGCTTTAGGTCTCGCCATAGTACGGCAACTGCTTTACTGAAAGTCAGTGATGATCTTTTCAGAATATGTGACAAAGGTGATACTGGTTGCCTACTTCTGGACTACTCAAAGGCCTTTGATACGTTAAATCATAGGATACTTTTGAAGAAATTGCAATATTTTGGTTTCAGTGATTGTTCACTGAAACTCATGGCGTGTTACTTGGCTGGTCGACAACAGAGAGTTTTTATCAGAGAATCTCCTTCGACTTTATTGCCTGTAGATCGTGGTGTTCCTCAGGGCAGTATTCTTGATCCACTTCTGTTCTCTATTTATACGGCAGATTTTAAAACGTATTTAAAAAATTTATCTTCACATCAGTATGCTGATGATTTTCAAGTGTACTGTTCCTTGAGTACAGATTTCAAAGCCTCCGAAATCAAAATAAATGAAGATCTGAGAATAATTTACGACATTTCACACCATCATGGTCTTTTCTTAAACCCTAATAAGACTCAACTAATTTTTGTGGGTAAGAACTCGCCAGATGTTTCTCAAAAATTAAATATCGTACTTGACAATATCACCATTACACCTGCTAAAACTGCAAAAATCTTGGGGTTATTTTGATTCTAAACTGAGATTTGAAAAGCATGTATCATATATTTTGCAGAAATCGTATTGTAAGTTAAAGACACTATATTTATACAAAGATTTTCTTAACAGAGATGTTAAATTGACCTTGTGTAAAAGCCTAATTCTTCCATTGGTCTTCTACTGCAACACTGTCTACTGGCCTGCTCTACTTAACAAGGATAATCAAAGCTTAACAAAACTTGTCAACTCTTGCTTAAGGTATTCATTTGGTACTTCTAAATTTGATCATGTTTCTCCTCTTTATAAAGAATCGGGCTGGTTAGGACTTGAACAGTATGCTTTTAAACATACTTATATACTAGTTTATAAAATAGAAAAATTTCGAGAGCCTCATTATTTGTTCGACATGCTTGTCAAGGCAGCTAACCTCCACGATCTTAATACCAGAAAGCGCAGCAGTTATGTTGTGCCTAAACACCGAACAGCCTTGTTTGAAAAATCGTTTTCGTATTATGCTTCGAAATGCTACAATTCACTTCCTCCGTACATTAAAAGCTGTCTGTCCATTGCAGGTTTCAGGAAATCTCTTGTTGATTTCAATTTAACTTTATAAAAGTATTATTGAATTGTACCTTAAGCTCATGTATGGGTGTTTTATATGTCTTTTTTTTTTTGTTCGTTTATATAATTTAGATTTATATTATATTAAAATTGTTATATTGTTGTATTAGTATTGTATGTGTATTTTGTATTTTTTTAAGGTGGTTAGATTGAGTAGCGTATGCTAGACCTCGCCACCTACATAAATAAAGTCAAATTATTATTATTATTATTATTATTATTATTAAATGGCACCCTCGGTATATTTTTACTTTATCGATAGAAAATGACACTCTGAATAAAATGCCATATCATATGTCACGTTTTGTCACTTTCGCTTAACAAGAAATCGTATTTTAAATTTCGATCTAGAGTACCATGGCTGTGTTAAAAACACTAATGTTTAATAAAGGAGTCTTGGAAAAATATATTTGATCATCTAATGTTTTTCGTGTCTTGTCCTGGCCGGTTAAAAAATGCACAAATCGTATTTTTAATCATATCTCAATTTTTTTAAATGGAACAAGGGCGGCTCATTAGCATATTTGGAAAAAACATTTTTTTACGAATAATTTGATACCACACACTTGGTATTAGAGTCAAAATGTCGTTATGATGATATTGATGATATGCGAAAATGTCAAAAGTTGACACGTGATATGTACATATGTATATTCAAAGTGTCATTTTCAATCGAACAGAGTAAAAAAATACCGAGGGTGTCATTTAAAAATCAAAAGTTGTAGTCATTTCCGGTGAAACAGGAAGTGACCAAAAACAATTGAATACACCAATCAATCCTAATTTATGTGATATACAAAATCTTGTTTTTTTCTCTAAAAAAAATAAAAAAGTTATAGTGGTGAGCCACTTTTGAGACGCACCCGGTATATCTAAAAATGCTAACTTTTACTAAGAATCATAACTTAAAAAACTTAAATAACAAACGAATAATACACAGGGTGTTCCATTTAAAAAAAACATCCCGATCCACTCACACTTTTTTGAGCCACCCTGTAGAAGTTAAAATATTTTCCTGAAATACATGTTAACACATACCTACTTTAGGTTGACACTTATAGTGACTTATGCAAAATGCCTAAGTTTTTATGATAGGAGCTACCGATGCCCGACGTACTGTTGCCTGGCCCGTATAAAGTATTAGGAACAACTTTGAACCGCAGCAACTTTTTGATAGGCACCCTTATAACATCATGTACAGAATAAAAATAGCTTTAATTTGACATATAAATGATCAAAAAAAAATGAACGTAATGTTTAATGTTGTCTGCAAAATCAGCTATTATTATTATTAATTAAACATAGTTGCGGCAACTTTTTGATCAGCACCCGATTAAAAGTGTATTCCCCTATTCATAAATATACGTAAAAATTGGTCAAGTGCGAGTCGGACTCTCGCACGACGTGTTCCGTATTAAGCCGGCAGCCCACCACGCGGAACTTGGCGAGTTCGGCGCGCGATTTGGCGAGCCACGCGTTGTGGGAACGAGAGCGCTCGTCGATGCGACAAGCGGCTCGGCTCGGCGCGGTCTTCCGGTCAGTTGTTTTTAAATGGAGCACAAGTCAAACGATGAACGAGCATCGCAGGCTTGACTTGTCTGAACTTGTTTAATCATTTCCTACCATTCTCCCACGTAGGCTTGTGTCAAATAAAACTGTTTTGCAGTCTCAGTAGCGTTCTTTATATCGTCGCAGAATAATCGTTGAGATAGGTGTATTTTTTGCAAATTAAGTTTCTCATTTATTTATTTTTTGAAGAATGGAGTGGTCTAATGAACTGGTTATAGAATTTTTGGAACTTTACGAAGGAGAACCAGCAATTTAGAATCCAAAGGACTCAAATCACGAAAATAGAAATATTGTTCATGATAGTTAGAAAAGAATTGAAACTAATTTAGGTGTCAAATGCACAGTGGCGGAACTTAAAAAGAAGAAAGAAGCATTGATGGCAATTTTTAGAAAACTGTGGCAAAAAGTAAAAGCAATCAATGGAACCGGCACAGGGACCGACGACATTTTTAAACCGGACTGGTTTGCATATGAATACATGCACAGATTTCTACACGGAATTTCTCCACCATCGTTTTTTTTTCTTTGTTTCTATTTAAATTATGTTCAACACTCATTAAAATAAAACTTTTCAAAAATACGCTGTTTTTGTTGCGATCTCATTATTTGTTCTTCCCTTCACGATGTTGACTACACACTGCCACAAACAAATATACACTGCCCTGTTTTTACTACTATGCAACTTGACAAGTCCAGTCAACGGTCGCGCGCAAATTTGCATTCGCCACGCGCCGCGCCGCGCCGTGGGAAAGAACCACGCTCGCTGAGTCGCCACTTGGCGAACTGACTTGCCAAGCCAAAATTCGCCGAGTCCCGCGTCGTGGGATGCCAGCTTTATATCTATACAATATTAGACACTATATTATTATAAACATTTTTTTCCGATTTAGCTGAAATTTTGAATGCGCGTATAAGTAATTTAAAAAAAAGTGAAGAAACACATTACTAAAAATTGTATTAATAATAAATATGTAAAAAGTAAAAGTAAATATGTAAAAATTAAAAAAAACGATTAAAAAAAGTCGCCTTGACTAGGATTCGAACCTGCCTTACTACGGCTCCAACGTCTTAGCAGCGTAAAGTCCTAACGCTTTAACCACGCGGCCACCGAGGACTTGAAAGGTTCTATGTAAAATTTTTACTTAAAAGATAATGTTTAGTGAAAGTACTTTTTTATTTATCAACATTTATTTAATTCTGTTTTTAGTATTTGTTCTTATAGCGGCAACATAGATACATTATCTGTAAAAATTTCAACTGTCTAGCTATAAGATAGTTCATAAGATAGACCTTTGTGACAGACGGACGGACGGACAGCGAAGGCTTACATCGTTTTCAGATGGAGCGGAGCGTCCGCGACGGACCGTCCACGACTTTGAGCAAGTACCATGAGTTTATATGAACGAAAAATATTTACCCTTTGGGTACGGAACCCCAAAAATTAGCTTTTGATTAAAAATATGATGAGCGTGGTAATTCTGCAGTCCGATCCTGTACTATATATATTTTTCAATTGCTAGTTTGTAAAAGGTCCTTAAACTTTGCCCTGAGTTAAGTTTCAAATTATTCAAATTAAAATGTATCTTAACGTAGTGGGACAGGTATAAAGCAAGAAAAAAATACAACCCAAAAAACCATTTCAATATTGTCGGATTAAGAACAGCTCCCGAATTGTTTTTGTCATCCGAAAACGTCCCAGACTTAATAACGTCACTTAATATTTTCGATAAAGATTCCGATATTTAAATAGCAAATTTTGCATAAGACGATCGTATATCTTTTACAACACAAACGGTCATTTTAAATAATGAGAATATGTCAACCTAAAGTATGTCCATTAAGGTATGACGAATGCAGATGACATTTTTTACATCCCAGACAATGTAGATATTTGTTTCTAAATATTTGGCATTCGAAATAATTGGAATACAAACTGTAATAAAGGGGACATTTATTAGATAAAGTTTACAAAAGATCATGATGGTAAAAAAATTGGCGCCGGGTGGCACGTATAGCCGCCCATACTAAAACATGTTAATAAAAAGTTGGTAGGCAGTTCTTTTAGTTTCAAAGTAAAGGAATTTTTGCAATTTTTTTTTATCTCAAAAACTGCGACTTTGACTGATTTTGATGTTATTACAAATTTTGTTGCAAATATTATTCCTAATCTTAAATTGAAAACCGCGTTTCGCTAGCTACTGTAATTTTGGAATTACGATTTTTTAAAATTTTTAACTCCCACCCATACCCACTTACCAACCCCCCACCCCCACCAAAAAATAATGGCCAGATTCTCGGGTGCCACAGTATTTTTGTGCCAAATTTGGTTAAAATCAGTTTAGCGGTTTTGGAGTTATCGTGCTACAGACAGACGGACAGACAGACAGACACCATGAAAATATTTTGTATTTAGGTTATTTATGACCCAAATAACTCATTTTGAGTGAAATTAAAAAAACTTTTTTTTGCCGATCTTTTAATAGCCTACCATACCTGTTGGTATAGTCGGCTAAAAATAAGTGGCTCACCCTTATAACTTTTTTATTTTTTCAAGTAAAAAACCGAGATTTGGTATGTTAGTATATGACATAAATTATTATTGATTGACGTTTTCAATTGTTTTCGGTGACTTCCTGTTTCACATCATTCGACAGAAATTACAATCTGAATAGAATGACGTATCATAATATGTAGTACAAGAGATGCGGTGATATCTGTCTTACATCTTAAATGGAATTGGGCAGG